AGGTTCTTCATAGACATGGCTTCACGGGCAGGAAATTGCACACCTGACCTGCTGGAATCTGCTTTCCTGGAATATGGTAGGGAACTCCCTAGGCTGTGTGTGCAAGGCTCCTGGAAACAGCTGAGTTCTGTGTTTAGACTTGAGTCCCATTCAGAAGATACTGTGTAGATACTGTGTATTATGAAAAATACGCATAACCTGAAAGAGCCCTGAAGCCTTGCTAGCCTGGCACCTTATGGCAGGATGTTCTGCCAACATAGCTGCTAGTGGGGGACATTGTCCTCCTGGCCTGGCCATGGCCTGCCCTTCTCAACTGTGTTCTCTTTCTAATTTTTGCCCTCCCTCCCTCCCTCCCTCCCTCCTTCCCTTCCTCCCTCCCTGTGATAAGAGTAAAACCTAGGACCTTGTCCACACAAGTTGGTGCTCTACTACTGAGCCCCAGCTGTCTCTTCAGTGTTTTTTTGTTTTGTTTTTTGACACTGGATTTCTCTGTGTAGCCTTGGCTGTCTTGGAACTTGCTTTGCAGACCAGGTTGGTCTCGAACTCAGAGATCTGCCTGCCTCTGCCTCCTGAGTTCTGGGACTAAAGGTGTGCACCTCCACCATCTGGCTTTTGTTGTTGTTGCTTTGTTAATTTAAAATTACTTTATTGTTATGGGTGATGGGGAGCATGTGCCATGGTGTGTGGAGGTCAGAAGACATAGTGTGTTCATGGGGCCACCCCTCTCCTTCCTTCATTATGTAGGTTCTGGGGATTGAAGTTAGGTTACCAGGTGTGGTGGTGGCTTGAATACAGATGGCCTCATAGGTTCATTTATTTGAATGCTTAGTCACCAGGGAGTGGTGATATTTGAAAGGGTTGTCAAGATTTAAAAGAGGTGTGGCCTTGTTGGAGGAAGTGTGCCACTGCAGGTGGGTTTTGAGGTTTCAAAAGCCCATGCCAAACCCAGAGTCTCTGTCTTTCTCCACCTATGGATCAGGATGTAGCTTTCAGCTATGGCTAGAGCTTCTGCCTGCATGTTGCCATGCTCCCTGACATGATGATAATGGACTAAGCCTCTGAAACTGTAAGCAAGCCACAGTTTAAATTGCTTCCTTTATAAGAGTTGCTGTGGTCATGGTATCTCTTCACAGCAATAGAAGAATGACTGACACCAGACTTGAAGGAAAACACTTTTGCCCATTGGGTCATTTGCCAGCCCAATTTTTTTTTTTTTTTTTTCAACACAGGGTTTCTCTGTGGAGCTTTGGAGCCTATCCTGGCACTCTGTGTAGACCAGGCTGGCCTCAAACTCACAGAGATCCGCCTGCCTCTGCCTCCTGAGTGCCACTACTACAACTGTTTGCCAGCCCAATTAAAAAAAAAAAAAAAATGTAGTGTTCTGTCTGCATGTATGCCTGCATGCCAGAAGAGGGCACCAGATCTCATTACAGATGGTTGTGAGCTACCATGAACTCAGGACCCCTGGAAAAGCAGTCAGTGCTCTTAACTGCTGAGCCATCTACCTAGTCCCATCCAGCCCAATTTTTTTTTTAACAAATTTTTGTTTTTTTCAAGACAGCATTTCTTTTTAAGATTTTATTTATTTATTATGTATACAACATTCTGCTTCCATATACATCTGCACACCAGAAGAGGGCACCAGATCTCATAAGAGATGATTGTGAGCCACCATGTGGTTGCTGGGAATTGAACTCAGGACCTCTGGAAGAGCAGTCGGTGCTCTTAACCTCTGAGCCATCTCTCCAGCCCCCCAATTTTTTTTAATGAAACAAAAACCACTTTTTTAAAGACAGGGTTTTATGTAGCTGAGGTTGACCTCAGAGTCACTGTGTAGCTAGGGATGACGTTGCTCTCCCCATCCTTCTGCCTCTGCCTTTTTTATTTTTATTTTTTTAATTTTTTTTATTTGTGTGTGTGTGTGTGTTTCTGAGTTTCTGAGACAGGGTCTTACTCTGTAGCTCAGGTTGGAAAGAGCCTCCTGCATAGCTGCAGGTCATACTGCCGTGATCAGCTTCTCTTTTCTCTTTGCTTATCCCCTGCTGCGAAACTCCTCACTTCCAGGCTCCTCCTCAGCTCTGACCTGGCCTAGAGAGAGCTGCTGCTCTGGGGGCCAAATATGCTCATGTAGTGGAGTTTCATTTCTGTCATGGTCTTGACACATGGCAGGTCTGGTGTCCTCACCCAGAGCTCAGGCCAGCTTGCACTGAGAGTAGGGCTGGGTTGACGGGATTGGCGCTCACACCTTTGCAGGCGGTGCTTTGCTCCATGTCTAGGCTTCAAGTGAAACTTGAGACTGCCCCTTCCTCCTGTGCCCAGGGCAGCCAGGGTTGGGTATGGGCTCCCTGGGGAAACAGCAGGCTGCACCTGTTTTCACATGGCTTTGAATGCTCAGTGTGTGGTCATGGCTGCTTTGGCCTTAAAAAGTGCACCATTGTGGAGCCCAAGAATGCATTGTCCCAGGTCACCTGCCCTGGGACAGACCTGGGCTGTCTTCGCAGCAAGCTAGGATCCAGTAAAGGCCTCTTCCAGCTTGGAGCTCCTGTAACCTCAGCGTTCACTGCCTACATGGAGGAAAACTCTGTTGTCCCACCAGTAAATAGGAGCTAGCATATTGTCTGCCCTATTGCATTGCCCTATAGGAAGGAGGACTGAATGAGGAACTCAAGGCCAGACATGGTGGCATTCATATACTGCCAGTAATCCCAGCTTTAGGAAGCAGAGGCAGGAGCTTGCTGAGGGTTTGAGGTCAGCCTGAGGTAAATTGTGAGTGCTGGATCTGCCAGGGTATGTGTTGTTGGGATGTCAAAATGTTGGTTGTTTTTTCAGTCTCTGGCTCTTTTAGTTTTTTTTTTTTTTTTTTTCCATTTGGGGGGGCCCACTACCTAGCTCCCAAATAGATCACACAGTTATAAATGCCCAGTCTTAGCTTGACTTGTTTCTTGCCACCTTTTGTTTGTTTTTAACTTAAATTGATCTATCTAACTTTTGTCTCTGGGCTTTTTCCTTTTCTTTTAGTATATCTTAATTTCACTTTTACTCTGTTCTGTGGCTGGCTGTGTGGCTAGGTTCCTCTCCGTGTTCTATTTTGCTCCTTCTTCTCTTCCCGGATTTCTCCTCCTATTTATTCTCTCTGCCTGTCAGCCCTGCCTATCCTTTCTCCTGCCTCAATATTGGCTGTTCAGCGCTTTATTAGACCACCAGGTGTTTTAGACAGGCAAAGTAACACAGCTTCACAGAGTTAAACAAATTCTGTAGTCACCCCCACCCCCACCCTGCCTCTCTTTGTCTGGGTATTTTGCTCTGCTCACAGGTGCCTGGTTCCCCCAGAGAAACTGACTGAAATTGCATTGTTTTGAACCTGAATTGATCTTATAGTGCTGGTCAGAGCCTGGGAGTCCCTTCCCCAGTGTATCCTTATGCAGTTCCAGGACAGCTTCCCTCTTGACTCAGTCTCTTGATCCCCAGCGTCACAGGCAGGCCAGATTGTTTGTTTTTAAAGACAGGGTCTCACTATGCAACCCTAAGTGGCCTGGAACTCACTCTGTAGACCAGCCTGGCCTCAGACCCAGATCCTCATGCCTCTGCCTCCTGAATCCTGGGATTTGAAGGTGTGCACCACGACTTAAGGAAGTTTTGATGAACCTCTCAGGAGTGCTCAGCCTCTCAATCTCCCTTCAGCTGTGTGGACAACACCCTTCCCTGTAGTTGAGCCTGATGGTGGTCCCTTCCCTGCAGCTGTGTAAATGTCACCCTTCTTTGAGTTAGCCTCATCTCACTTTCTTCACTTGACCCTGGTGTGTTTTGTGTCGGATGTCAGAGGCTGGACCATTGATCAAGAACAGATTTACCTCTTGTAAGCTCTGGTGGTTGGGAAGACCAAGGGACACCTACATCTGGCCAGGCAGAGGGAGCAGGCAGGACACATCCTCCTGTGATGCTTCAGAGGATGGAGCCCCTGGCTGACTGGCACTTTCCCAGCATTTACTGGGGTTGATGCAGCCTGTATTTGAACTTGAGCTTCCATAAAGGGACACCCATAGGGACACCCTTTCATATAGTCACTTGTATGTTTACTTAGTTTTTCTTGTTTGAGACAGGGTTTCACGACAAAGCCCAGGCTGTCTTGACTCACAAGAATCATGCCTTGGCTACCCCTCCCCTCAGTGTTGGGAGACCCCACTGCTGTATAGTGGCTGCTTACTTCCTCACTGGGGTGGCTTGCTCCTCCAGGTTACTTCTTCCTTCCCATAAAGGGGCATCTTGTTGAGACCAGTGAGGGAGGGAGGGATGGAGTGGTTAGAGCCTGACCTTGGAGTTCTGGGCTAAACAAGGGGTTGAGGGGTATCCTTGATGCTGAGTGTAAGACTCTTGGCTTCCCGCACAGAGGGAGTGAATACTTTCAGCATGAGGCTGTCTGCACCCTGGAAGATGCCTGCAGCATGAATCTTGTATACTGTCACTTGTCAGGCAGCTGGTAGAAGACAGGATAGGTGAGGACTCAAAGCCAAGTGCATGCTGGTGACTCAAGGACACATACAGAAACTCCACCAACTCACGGGGGTGAGGGAGGAGTCTCCACCACCACCTCTTTGGAGGTGAGCCTCTGTGCTGGGGTTTGACTTTGCTTTGTCTGTCAGGTGCACACATTTTTACTAGAACGGGGGTTTATTTTGGCAATGACAAGACATTGTGTATTGTCACCTCCACTTAGAAGGCTAAGGCAGGAGACCACTTGATCCTAGGAGTTCAAGAGGAGCTTGGGGCTGGGTGTGGCAGTTCCTGTCTTTAATGTCAGCATTCAAGAGCCAGAGTCACGAGGATCACCAGGAGTTTAAGGCCATCCAGGGCTATCTAGCAAGGCCTTTTCCCAACAAAAATGAAACAAAACAACTCAAGACCATCCTGGACTATATATATGGGAGGCTGCTTTTTGTGCTGATGTCCATTTGTCCATATGTCCACTTGTGATCACTTTCTGACTCTTCTGTTTTATTCAGATTCCCAGTGGAAATCCGTTATATGAATCTTACTATAAGCAGGTATGTCTGTGTGCTATCTTCTTGTTTTACATTTTAGTTCATTTTACTGTGTAGGTGTATTTGTGTTCACCTGTACCATAGTGTGCCTGTGGCAGTAAAGGGACAGCTCTCGGAGTCAGTTCTCCCCTTTCACCATGTGGGTCTCAGAGATCAAATTTAGGCCCTTAGGCTTGGCGGCAGGAGCCTTTGCCCACTGACCATCTATCTCTCCAGCCTGCCAGTGCCTTTTTATATGTTGTGTATGTACTCGTGTGTGAATGTGTGTTGGTGCTGGGGGTGGAACCCAGAGCCTCTTTTTTTTTTTTTTTTTAAGTTCCTTTTTTTAAAAATATTTATTTATTATGTGTACAGTGTTCAGCCTGAATGTATCCCTGCAGGCCAGAAGGAGGCACCAAATCTCATTATAGATGGTCGTGAGCCACCATGTGGTTGCTGGGAATTGAACTCAGGACCTTTGGAAGAGAAGGCAGTGCTCTTAACTGCTGAGCCATCTCTCCAGCCCCCAGAGCCTCTTATATGCAGAGCAGCTCAGCCACCCACCGTCTTTGTAGTTGCAGCTGGGAACACATTTGAAGCAGCTCTTTGTGAGCACACATAGAGACAGCGTCTGTAAATGATTGTGTCCATTTCTGTGAACACTTGGAGACAGTGCAGCTACTTCTGCACTGTAAATGGTTTTGTCCTATTGCAGGTGGACCCTGCCTACACAGGGAGAGTTGGGGCCAGCGAGGCTGCGCTGTTTCTGAAGAAGTCGGGGCTCTCTGACATCATCCTGGGGAAGGTAGGGATTCTGGCACCCTGGAATGAAAGCCAGCTGTACAGACCCTCCTTGGGTGGGGCCAGGACACCCTGAGAGTCTTTGCTGTAGTGGATGGATCTGAAGGCCTGGAGGAAGCATTTAGAGCTGACTGCCATGCCATCCTAGCACTTGAGAGGCTGAGGCAGAAGGATCAGGAATCCCTTGCCAGCCTGGTCTACATAGTATGACTTGTTTTTGAAAAGATATGCCAAACCTACAATGCCAGACATCTCAGAATTCTCCTTTAATCCCAGCACGCTGGAAGCAGAGTGTGGATATCTGGAGTTTTTTGAGGCCAGCCTGGTCAATCTCAGATGGTGGTCACCTTCAAGGTGTAGACAGCCTACTGGATCAGAGTGCTTTTGGTGTCTTGGTAGCTATGGGTTTACATTGCCATGTAATGACTGAATAGGGAGCTAAGTGAACATGGGGGTTCTATGGGCCCCGCCACCAAATGGCTGTGTGCCTGGCAAGTCCCAGTGCCCATGGCAGAGAAGCAGTTGATGTGACTCCTGTTCCATCCAACTTGGCTGATGAGTGACAGCCACACTCATAAGCACTTTTATGTCTCCACAGATATGGGACTTGGCGGACCCCGAAGGTAAAGGGTTCTTGGACAAACAGGTATATATGCACACACAGAGCAGGGGAGAGGCTGGGCACCCCTAAGACCAGGTGACTTGTACATTTCTTCCACTCCCTGCTGTCATCCACACACAGCTGTGAGGAATTGTCACTTTGGGGTGCAGGTCTGTAAGTATGCAAGCCCCTGACTTGGTGACCATTCCTTTGACTGTCTTGGGACTGTCTCAGCTTCTTTACCTGCTGCTGTGATAGATAAATCGCCCTGACAGAAGCAGTTCTGGTGAAAGGGCACCTGCAGCTCACGGCTCCAGGTGTACCCACTTGGGACAAGTAAGGCAGCAGGAACCTGAAGCCTAGCCCAGGGCTGGGGTACCCACATGGAGGGCATGCTTTCCCATCTCAGGTAACCTAGGACCCCCTCACAAGCCAGCCTGCTTGAAGCAGCTCCTCATCCAAGACTTCCTTCTCAGGTAGTTCCCACTGTGTCCAGTTGACAGAACTAAACAGTAAGGGAGCTCGAGAGAGGACTCAGCTATAACAGAGCCAGGTCTCAGCACCCACATTTGACAGCTTACAACCACCTGTGACTCCAGCTCCAAGGAATCTGATCCACCCATACATACATGTACACACACACACACACACACACACACACAAACACACACACACACTATATATACACTGTTAAACAAAACAAAACAAAATCCCCTAAACATCACAATGAACTTACCAGTGATTAAAACATTTTAAAGATTTAAAATAATTAAAATAAATTGTACCTTGTATGGTGGCACATACCCTTAATCTCAACACTCAGGCATCAGAGGCAGGTGGATGGGTCTCTATGAGAGCCTAGTCTACATATGGAGTGCCAGGATAGCCAGGGCTACAGTGAGACATTGTCTCAAAACAAGCAAACAAAAACCCACAGGGTAGGGGAAGACCAGAAAAATTTTGCATGTGTTTGTGGCCCATGGAGGCCAGAAGAAGGTGCCAGATCCCTGGAGATGAGGTGATAGGCAGTTGGGAGTTGCCTGATGGGGTGCTGGGAACCAAACCCTGGTTTTCTGCATGAGCAGTATATGCTCTTAACCACAGAGCCATGTCTTCAGCCTAAAGACTGTTCCATATGAAAGTAATTTTAGAATTCTGTAACGATACCAAACGTAGTTTACTGGGTTCCTACACACCCCTTCTAGTTGTAATCAACTCTCCCCAAGAATGTGCAGTCAAAAAAAAAAAAAAAGAGTGTGCAGTCACACAATTGCCGTACTGTGTCAGACTACTGTGGTCACAGCACTAACCAGGATCTGCACCAGGCTGGCTGTTTTCTGATGCCCTCTACCATGGAGGCTTCACCTTGGAGCCCTGAGCTCTGTTCTTGAGGGATATTCTGAGTGGAATTGTGTTTGTCCCACAGTGCTGGCAGTGAGTGGAATCTTACAGAAGGCTTTGTGATGCTGTGCTCACAGGGCCTGCATGCAAGTGAGTTCCCAGCTCCTCCCCCAGGTGCTGTCTGAGGCTGTTCTGTGCCCTCAGGCCTCAAGCCTGTTCATCTGCCAGCCATGACCACCAGTCACCGGCACCTCCCTCCCTTGTGATTGGGTTGCTCGCTGGCCGCTTAGTGAAGATGCCGGGGGACCTGATTTGGTTCCTCTGACTACCATCCTGCCCTGTTTTCAGCACCCCTCTGATACCATATGTTCTCCACAGCTTCTGTTATGTCCCTATGAAAGGTGTAGTCTCTCTCCATATTCTTACACCAAGAGAGAAGCTCTGCTCTAGGTTGCACACCTGCCCCAGCCTCTATCACTGATAAAACTGACTAAAAGCACATGGAGAGAAAGGGCTACTTGGTTATAGATTACAGTTCATTATTGAGGGAAACTAAACGCCAGGCAGGAACTGAAACAGAGGCTGTGGAGGATCAATGCTTACTGGCTTGTTCCATATGGCTTGGTCAGCCTGCTTTTCCTATAGAATTTAGGACTACCAGCCCAGGGCTGACACTGTCTATGTGAATCATTAATTAGGAAAATACTCCATAGACATGTCCCCAGGCCAGTCTGATGGAGTGAGTTCCTTGATCAAGGTTCATTCATTCTTTTTTTTTTTTTTTAAATACATTTTTATTTAAATTAGAAACTTTCTTATTTTACATATCAATCCCAGTTCCTTCTCTCTCCCCCTCATCCCAGGCCCCCCAGACCAAGGTTCTTTCTCAGCTGACTTTGTGTCAGGTTGACAGCTTGTCACAGAACACAGGTCATGCAAGCACTCAGGAGACTGAGGCCAGAGGATTGAGACTCAGATTCAGCTGCGTAGTAAGAGTCTGTTTCAAAAAAGGAGGCCAGAGAGATGGCTCAATGGTTAATTAAGAGAGCTTACTGCTCTTGCAGAGAACTGAGCTCAGTTCCTAGCACGCACAAAGCTGCTCACAACATCCTGTAACTCCAATTCTAGAGATCTGATGCCTCTGGGCTCTGAGGGTAGCTACACTTATGCACACACTCATAATTAATACTAAAACTAGCCTGGCGGTGGTGGCGCATGCTTTTAGTTTCAGCAGTCGAGAGGCAGAGGCAGGCGGATCTCTGTGAGTTCGAGGCCAGCCTGGTCTCCAGAGCAAGTGCCAGGATAGGCTCCAAAGCTACACAGAAAAACCCTGTCCCGGAAAAATAAATAAATAAATAAATAAAAATCCAGTATATGGACTGACGGTATGGCTTAGAAGAAAAGTGCTTGCCTAGTATTCCTGAAGCTTTAGGTCTTACAAAAACAGAAACAAAGTAGGCTGTGTATATTTGGCCCATCAGTCATTGTCAGTGTGGACTGCTCCAGCATCTCATGACCTAGAAGCTTGTTGCCTTAGGAAATTCCTTTACCTGAAACTTTTCAGGGCTCAGGGCTTACTAATGGCTGCCTGCTATGGTGTCTGCAGTCATCATGGTGGAAGTAAGAGCCGTCCTGTTTTGCTTTATGGTGTTAATGCCTCCTCTTATTGGGTCCACAGGGTTTCTATGTTGCACTGAGATTGGTGGCCTGTGCACAGAGTGGCCATGAAGTCACCTTGAGCAATCTGAGCCTTACCATGCCACCACCGAAATTTGTGAGTGTGCAAGCCATCATACTTTCTTGGTTCTGTGTCTGTGTACATACATGTGCATGACAGCTCCATTTTTTCTCTTGTTTCCCATGTTTTAGTCAAGGTAAAATGCAGATACCATATAATTCACCATTTTTAAATGCACTGTTCAGCTAGGCATGGTGGCTTATACCTTTAATCCTAGCACTTGGGAAGCAGAAGTCAGTGGATCTCTTGAGTTCTAGGCCAGCCTGATCTATAAAGCTAGTTCCAGACATCCAGGAATACACAGAGAAATCCTGTCTTGAAAAGAAAACAAAATAAAATGTGCAGTTGGGTAACACTTATATATTACAGTGTTGTGCAAACATCAGCCAGAGTTACTAGTTCTCAGCTCCTAAAATGAAGACCCTGGGCCATGTTTGTTTCTTTATCTCCCAGTCCTCGGTAGCCACCCATCTTCTTTCTGTGTAAGTTTGTCTCTTCTGATGTTGCTGTCAATGGAGTCACACAGGGTATGGCCTTGTGTGTGCATCTTTCATTCATTCTGCCCAGATCAGGATACTTGACTGTTGTGACTGGTCAGGCACTGCTTACCTGTCTGTCTGCTGAGCTCTGTGGTGTCTCCTGCATCTTTGGTTGTTGGGAGCAGGTTAGCTGTGAATGGTCATGGATTTGTGTATGCACCTGTGGGTCTGTACCTGGCAAGGGAGCTATGGGATCATAGGTCATTCTCCATTCGGTGGTTTCCCACTTTGGAATGAGATCCTTTTGGTTTGTTTGCACATGTGATACTGTCCCATTTTTCCTCAGCATGACACCAGCAGCCCACTGATGGCCACACAACCGTCTACAGAGACCCACTGGGCTGTGCGGGTAAGTGAGAGGGATAGTTGATGTGTTGGCCATGTAGATCATTTGGAACATTCTGGAACACCTTTGCCATCTGTATGTCTCCACAGAATCAGAGGATCATATCTGTGTTTTGATTTTGTTTTTTAAGATTTTATTTTCTTTTTCATTATTTGTATGTCTCTGGTGGGTATGTGTGCCCTTGGAGGCCAAAGACAGGTGGGATTCTCTGGAGCTGTAATTACCAGCTGTAGTGAGCCACCTAAACTTGGACATTGGGAACTGCACTTGGCTGCTCTTAACCTCTCATCATCTATCTCTCCAACCCTTGTTTTGTTTTTTTGCTTATTGAGAATGGGTCTCATGTCACCCAGGCTAACATCAAGCTCAATCTGTAGCTAGCTGAGTCAGAGCTCCTAACTCCTAATCCCCTGCCCCTACCTCCCCAGCATGGGGATGCCATGCATGTCACAGCACTTGGCTTGAAAAATCAGCACGTTAGGCATTCCTTTTCCATGCAGAGGGCAATGTGGTCCTGCCTCTAGGAAGGAAAAACAAGCATGATGGCTGTCTTAGTTAGTGTCCTATTGCTGTGAGGGGACACTGACCACAACAGCTCTTAGAAAGGAAAGCCTTTATTTGGGGCTTACTTTAGTTTCAGAGGCTTAGTTCATTTATCATCATGGCGGGAAAATGGTGGCTCGCAGGTAGACATGGTGCTGGAGAGGAGCTGAGTGACCCACGTCTGTATCTGCAGTCAGCAGGGGAGAGACAAGACAACCACTGGGCCTGGCTTGGGCTTTTAAAACCTCAAAGCCCACCCACAGTGACACGCCTCCTCCAGCAAGACCATACCTATCCCAGCAAGGTCACAACTCCTAATAGTGCCACTTCCTGGTGACCAAGCATTCAAATCTATGAGCCTATGGTGTCCATTCTCACTCAAACCACCACGTTCCTCTCCCTGGCCCCCATAGGCTGTGGTGGACATACTACATTCAAACCAATTTCTAAAGTCCCCATTCTATCACAGTCTCCACACTGTTTGAAAGTCCAAAGTTTCTTCTGAGATTCATGGCAATCTGCTCTTTTGTTTTGTTTTGTTTTGAGACAGGGTTTCTCTTTGTAGTCCTGGCTGTCCTGGAATTCACTTTTTAGACCAGGCTGAGCTCAGAGATCTGCCTGCCTCTGCCTCCTGAGTGCTGGGATTAAAGGTTGTTGCACCATGCCTGGCTTCATGGCAGTCTCTTAACTGTAACCAACTATAATCCTCTGTAAAAATCAATATTGAAAAGCAGATTGCATACTTCCAACATCCAATGGCACAGAATATACGTTACCATTCCACAAGGGAGAAATGGAAACATAGTGTGGAAATACTGGACCAAAGCAAGCCTGGAAACCAGCTGGGCAAACTCTGTGTTTCTATGTCTGATGTCAAAGGACTCTTTAGATCTCTAACTCTGTTTTGTTGACATTCTCATTCTTCATTCTCTCTCTCTCTCTCTCTCTCTCTCTCTCTCTCTCTCTCTCTTTCGGTCTTGATTTCACTACCTCAGCAGGTATCTCATGGCTCTGGCATCTCTTAACAGGCTTCACCTTCACAGCTTCATGCAATGGCCTCTCTAGGCCTCCATTCAAGGACACCCCGACACATGCTGGCCTCAGAGGCTTTCCTTAGTCGTGGAGGGAGATTACCTAACCCCTTTCTTGTATCCTTGACTCTAAAGCCAGAACCATGTGGCTGAAGCTGCCAAGTTCTGCTGCTTGCTGTGGCTGGAATGTGGCTCCCTGTTCAAACTTTTACCAGTTTTCAGTTTTCAGTGGTTTCCTTCAGTGCTTAAGCCTGGCTGTCCTGGAACTCACTCTGCAGACCATACTGGCTTAGGACTCAAAGATCCACCTGTCTCTTCCTCTCAGTGCTAGGATTAAAGATGTACATCACCATGCCTGCCCCTAAACTTTTTTTTTTTTTTAAGATTTTATTTATTTATTATGTATATGACATTCTGCTTCCATGTATATCTGCACACCAGAAGAGGGCACCAGATCTCATAACATGAGCCACCATGTGGTTGCTGGGAATTGAACTCAGGACCTCTGGAAGAGCAGCCAGTGCTCTTAACCTCTGAGCCATCTCTCCAGCCCCGCCCCTAAACTTTTAATTCCTTTTGTAAGTTGGAAATTTAGCTACCTGGGGTCTTGCCTTGAGATCACCACTCCCTTTATTCCATTTAGGATCTCCTTGAACACTGGACTAGCTCCATTACACCTTATGATGCTCCTTTTCTCCTCAGACTCTACCTTTTGTATTTTTCCTTGCTTATCTTGCTCTTTTTTTTTTTTTTTTTTTAATTATAGATCTGCATAAGAGTAACTGCTGTTAGGCAGGCAGTGGTGGTGCACGCCTTTAATCACAACACTTGTGAGTTTGAGGCAGGTGGATCTCTGTGAGTTCGAGGCCAGCCTGGTGTACATAGTGAGTTCTAGGACAGGTTCCAAAGCCACACAGAAACCCTTTCTCAAAAAAACAAAGGGGCTGGGGGAGAGGGAAGGGAGAAGAGACCCCACTAATAACCACAGGACAAAGTCAATACTAAGCTGCCCTGAAATCTCTTCTGTCAGCACCATTAATTCAAAACCTTTTAATTTAGCTTTAGGCAGATTTTTCAGACAAGGGCAAAAAACATTCCCCCCCCCCCCATAAAAAAAATCACAAGAATGGTCTCTGGGCCACACACTAACATTTTTCTCTGAAATCCCTTAAGCTGGACCCCACAGTTTAGATACCCTCAGCACTACTGTCTTCCATGTTTCTACTATTTTGGTTCATTGAGCTGCAACCTAATCCCGAGGCAGGCAGGAAGCATGAGGGACTTGCCCGTCTGACCGAGTGAATGCAGAGAAGCTGGAAGCACTGGCTTGGGGCTTGTGGGTACCACATGCAGTCAGCTGTGCCAGTGAGGGCTGGTTGTGAGAGTCAAGCCCTGTGGGGTGCCAGTTAAAGGCGGGGTTTAAACGAATCTACAAGACTCAAGATAAATGAATAACAGGTATTTATTAGGGAAACACTTACACAATTAATAGTAAATAATTGATATGGTCTTCCCACTCCTGAAGATGCAGTCTCTGCCCTTCCAGAGTTCCGACTACCCCCAAAGATAGCGAGCCAACCCCTCCTCTTACTTATAAGGGGTCACATCTTGCACACCTTGAAGCCACGCCCCTAGGATTTGGCCACCACTGCAAGTCCACTGGTGAAAAAAGATGCCACTACAATATATATTTGCAAAACATAAGTGATCCTGAAGAGCCAGAGTTGGTCCTGCAGCCATGTGTGGGTTGTGGATGTTCTCAGAGAATGGGAAGCAGCCCCCTATGCCACATTTTCTTGTACTTCTCTCTTCCTCCCTCTTTTTTAATTTTATTATTATTATTATTATTATTATTATTATTATTATTTTTTTTTTTTTCAAACTCACAGAGATCTGCCTGCCTCTGCCTCCTGAGTGCTGGGATTAAAGGCGTGCACCACCTCTGTCCGGCCTCCTCTCTTCCTTCTTTATCCGCTCTCTGACTCTTTTGAACTTGGGCAGGCCCTGAACTTTTTGGGCAAGGGCTTCACCATCACACTATGCTCTTAGCCCTTTTCAGTTTGTTTCTGTGAGACAGGGTCTCCTGTAGCCCTGTCTGACTTCAAACCTCTGCATAGCCATGAATGATCTTGAACCCTCACCTCTCCTTCCTCAGTACTGGAATTGCCTGTGGTTTATACAGTGCTGGAGGTGGAGCCCAGGGATGGGTATTCTATGTGTGCTGCATGGACACTACCTACCGAGCCATCGTACCAGCGCTCTCTTCAAAACCTTTTTTCCTAGTGGTGAGATTGGAGTCCAAGGCTCCACTGCACTGAGCCTCATCAAAGCTTATGTTTGGACTGTGAGAAGTAAGACTTCCACTCTTGAAGTTGACATTTGAGACAGGGTCTCCCCATGTAGCATAGGCTGACCGCAAACCCTCCATCTTGAGTGCTGAAATGAGAGATGTATGCCATTGGCCCCACTGGAGGTGGATTTTGGTCATGTTTGCTCCCAAACTAAATAGCTGTGAGGTTCCTTGATTTACTGCAAAGGCATTTCCTGCTGGCCAGGCCCTTCTGCCATCAGGAGACCTGATGTGGAAGATAGCATGGCCCCCAGGCCACTGTGCCAGGGAGCTGTGCCCGCGTCTCCCTGGAAACTCGGGTAGCTGGGCTTGCTCTCGGATGTCTTCCTCCACTGGTACAGTTGAGGTCTGTGTAGACCGTCCTCACCATGTGCTCTACACTCACTCCAGCTCCTCCTCTCTCCTTTCCCGGTAGGTGGAAGAGAAGGCAAAGTTTGATGGCATCTTTGAAAGCCTTCTACCAGTCAATGGTCTGCTTTCTGGAGACAAGGTCAAGCCAGTCCTCATGAACTCGAAACTACCTCTGGATGTGCTGGGCAGGGTAAGGGGCTGGGTGCTTTCCCATCCCATACTGCAGTGTGTCTGTCTGCTAGCGTCACCTTTCTCCTCCCAATGTGCACTGTACCACCAGATGCTTCTTGAGCTGCTGAAACATTTCATTGGCCTTTGGCTTATGTTTTTAAGTAAATGCTTTGTCCTGCTTGTCAATCTCAAGGTCAAGGCACTTTCAGCTCTGTTACAGGTTTAGAAATAGTCTTAGATACTCCTTTTTTGGTTTTATCATGGGGTTTCCTATATCTCTCATATTGGCTGGGGGTAATCTTAAACTCCCAATCCACCTCCATAGTGCAGTCCTTTTATTTGTTTGTTTATTTTGGTGGCCGTGCCCTTGTACACCTATAATCCCAAGAGGCAGAGGCAAGAGGATCATGAGTTTTAGGCCAATCCAGTCTGTGTAGCAGAACCCTGCATCAGGAGTTCCTCATCAGAAATGAACCTCAGCTTTGTTCATATCCATGCAAAGTGTTTGGCTCCAGAATCTCCACTGTAGGCACTGTTCCTCCAGAGGGGTGTCGCTGTGGCCCAAGGCTTCATCCTGGTAGCCTGCTTCCTGGTGTATGTGGGCTAGGCAAGCTTATTGTCATCTTTGGGGCCTTGCTACAGAGGGACCATGGTTGTTCAGCCAGAGCCCAAGGCCCTGGCCTCTAACAGAGTCTAAAAACAACAAACCCTGTCCTCAGTGGCTTTCAGAGGCCATTTCTTAGTGCCCATCTATGTGCCTCTAAGTTCTAGAATTCTAAGCATGTGCAGCATTTCGAGTTACATTTTAAAATAGACCTGAAAATCTGTGGCATTGGGCTGGAAAGATGTCTTAGGGCTTAAGAGCCCTGCAGAGGACACCATTTGATTCCGATTTCAGTTGAAAAGGTTGCTTGGGATGCGGTTTTCATCCTGGCCTTTGTAGGCACAGTGAACATGCTGCAGGAAGGGTATAGGTCTCAGCGTTTGTTCTCAGCTCCCTCAGAGGATGGTTTTCAGAGAGCTGCAGGGTGTCAGGGTTATTGTTTGTTTTGATTCCTTGTTTTGGTCTTTTTAGGTAGGGTCTTAGTCAGTGTTGTATTGCTGTGAAGGCACACCATGAGCACAGTAGCTCTTATAAATGAAGGCATTTAATTGGACTGGCTTACAGTTTCAGAGGGTTAGTCCCTGATCACCATGGCGGGAAGCATGGTGGCAGGTAGGTAGACATGGTGCTGGAGAAGTGGCTGAGAGCCCATATCTGATCCATAGTCAGAGAGACAAGGAGAGACTTGCTCCGACCTGGTAGTCAGGGGCACGACTCTCCCAACAAGACCATACCTCCTATCCTTCACAGATCACCAACAGAAGGACTAAGCATGCAAATATGTGAGTGAGCCTAGAGGGGCATTCCCGTTTGGATCACCACAAATAAGATCTTGCTATATAGCCAGGATGGGCCTGGAACTTTCAGTGTACTTTGGGCTGACTTGGAGCTTCCAATCCTCCTGCCTCATCCTCTTGTCACAGTCTAGTTCTTAAAGCTTTTCCTTTTCTTCTTTGTGTGTGCTTGCAAGATAGGTATACATCTCCTTAAGTGCCTCTGGTTGCCTTGGCTCATTTCACTATCAGTTCACAAGTTGCTTGTGCTGGGTGAGACTTCCTGGAGCTTCCTTCCCACATCACCCTCATGAATCTATCTGTCCCCTGCAGGTCTGGGACCTCAGTGACATTGACAAAGACGGACATCTGGATCGAGATGAGTTTGCTGTGGTAAGTCCTCTGTTTCCAACTTGCTGAGACCTAAGGAAGTATTCATGGGTGGCTACGAGAGTCTTTTATGTGTCTTTAAAAGTTTTAAAAGTGTTTATTTATTTATTTAATTATTTATTTTTTGATTTTTCAAGACAGGGTTTCTCTGTGGGTTTGGAGCCTATCCTGGCACTCGCTCTGGAGACCAGGCTGGCCTCGAACTCACAGAAATCCGCCTGCCTCTGCCTCCTGAGTGCTGGGATTAAAGGCATGGGCCACCACCACCCAGCTCTAAAAGTGTTTATTTTGACATTTTCAAATACTTAGAAAAGGTTCAGGGGTACAGTAGAGTGCAGAGTCGTCTTCACTGATCCAGTGTGATCTTACAGTGCCTGCTTTTTTATCATCCTTCCTCCTCTTCTTTGCCACTTCCTTATTCCCCCCTCATCATTTTCAAAGAGATAAATTGCAAGCACAATGCCTTTATTTTTATGATTTTTTTTTTTTTGAGACAGCGTCTGAGATTATTGAAACTGGTCTTTTTTTTATCAAAGGCATGTGCCACCACTGTCAGGCTTGAAGCTGGTCTTGAACTCATTCTCCTGCTTCTGTCTCCTTAGTTCTAGAATGATAGGCATGTTCAGCACCTGGACTTTGGTTACATTTTAAAATAGACTTTAAAGTCTGTGATATTGGGGCTGGAGAGATGTCTCAGGGCTAAAGAGCCCTGCAGAGGACCTGGGTGTGATTCCTGCCTCCCACATGGAGGCTCACTGCACTCTAACTCCAGTTACAGATCTGATGCCCTCTTCTGGCCTCCATAGGCTCTGCACACACCTAGTGCACAGACACACGACAGGCAAAATACTCATAGATACAAAAATAAATGTTAAAAAAATTGTGTTTTTGCCAGTGTGTGCCTGTCATTCCAGTATTCAGAAGCCTGAGGCAGGAGGATTGGGATTCCAGTCTAGCCTGGGCTTCATATCAAGATTTTTCTTTAAAATAAATACATATATAGACATGATTTAAAACATGTCCCTCTGCTCCCCCTGCCTGTCCTTCTGTCCCCTCTGGGGTCATACTCTGTGTCTCCTGAGCATTTTGAAGTAGATGCTCCTTGGGGTCTGTTAACTTCCAGATTTCAAAACTTCGGAATTTATAAGCCCTGGGGCTTGGTGGTCACACTGCATGCTGACTGAGTGTGCAGAGCCTAGAGTACTCAGCCTCGGCTGTTACATACATGTGCTTCACTTCTCCCTGTCCTTGACTGTTAGAATGTTTCCATTGGTAATAGATTAATAACAATTAATGAAGTAATTGCAACAAATACTGGGGCTGTAGCTCAGCTGGTAGAATGCTTGCCTAGCTTGCACAAAGCCCGGAGGTCATCCTGTGCCATATAAATCAGGTGTGGTGGCACATGCCTGTAATCTCAGTACTCTGAAGGTGGCCATACAGGGAGAGCAAGGTCACACTCAATTATTTAGTGAGCATGAGGCCATCCTGGGAAACATGAGACACCTGTCTAAAAACAGTCATGGCATTATGCTGTAATAGAAGTGTTACGAATGTGGTCTTTTGTTTCTGGAATTTCCTACCTAACATTTCAGACCATGGGTTACTCAAATCTTGGCAAGGAACCCTCAGAACTGGCTGTGTGGTGTCTGGATGGCTGTCATCTGTGCTCACTTCACTTTCCCAAACTCAACCCATCTCACGAAGCTGCAGAGGGGGCTGATGCCTGAGAAAAGATTAGCAGATTCCTTGGAGCCTCCCAAGACTGCATGAGACTCTTTCTCTGTTCTGTGACCCCTGCCCCCTCAGTTCCCTTCTCTTCTTGTTGGCACCATAGGCCATGCACTTGGTGTACCGCGCCTTGGAGAAGGAGCCAGTGCCCTCTGTTCTGCCTCCATCCCTCATCCCACCCTCCAAGAAGAAGAAGACAGTGTTTGCAGGTGCTGTGCCTGTCTTGCCTGCCAGCCCTCCACCCAAAGACAGCCTCCGCTCCACACCATCCCACGGCAGTGTCAGCAGCCTCAACAGCACAGGCAGCCTGTCACCGAAGCACAGCGTCAAGCAGACTCAGGTCAGTGTCCACTGTCCCATCCTCCACTATTTCTTGACAGCAAAAAAGAGAAAACGTTGATCCAATTCTCTAAAAGACTTACTAGAGGTATGGGGCTGGAGAGACAGCTTAGTGAATGAGAGCACTGGCTGCTCTTCCAGAGGACCCAGGGCTTATGAGCTCCAAAGTTTTGAAGTCTCAGCACCTGCGTGGCAGCTCACTTCAGTCTGTACTTATACATGTTATGCATACACAATAATACCAGTACATATTAAAACAAATAAATAACTTAGATTGCTAGACGGATTTAGAATGAGCTTTCTTGCACACTTGCAGGTGAGTGAAATTGTTCCCTGGTGTCTATGGAGCTCCAGGACATCCAGGGTGCCGGTGCCCTCCAATGCTCAAGTCCTCATGGAAGTGATACAGAGTCTGCACAGAACCTGTGCGTGCCCCTAAACTCACCACATTAAGAGAAAAGACTCATTTATTTATTTACCAGTTTGCACATCGTTGTTTGGAGGGCAGAAGAGAGTGTCAGATATCTTCTGTCACTGTGAGGATATCTGATATATCTTTGAGGTGGGGTCTCTTCCTGACCTGGGGCTCTTGTTTCCTGGCTAGGCTGCAGCCACAAACCCCAGTGGTCTCCCTGTCTTTGACCCTCTTGGAGCAGGGGTTGCAGGCACTTGCAGGATGCTTGTTACATGGTTCTGGGATCAGCACTCCTGATTATGTAGCAAAGTAGTAAACTGAGGAAGTGCTATGAGTAGGGTTCGTCCCTTTACCTACAAGCCAGCTGGAAGGATACCAACAAGGTGAATCTGAGCTGAAATATCAAGAAGCTATTAGAAGAACAGCCACGGCTAGGCTGAGTTAGAACAAGGGGAAGCCTGGGCAGGCAAGAGCTGGCCACTCAGTTAGCCTCATGCAGCTGTTGTTTTCTAGGACAGCCACCCCACCCCATCTCACCAACCGAGCCCTTGCTGAGAGAGAGCTGTTGTGAACAGAGGGATGGGATAGATGTTTGGCTGGGAAGGAAGCAACTGAGGCCCTAATCTGGCACAGCCTTGGGCTTCCCTGGTTACTTCCAGATTTCCCACAAGGCCAGTTTGTTTTTTAACCAGCAGCCCCTAGGACAGGGCATTTGTCAAGGTGTTTTTTGGGACCCATAGTCATAGTCCCTCAGACCATCACATCACCACAGAAGGGGCTCCGGTGCTCTCCTGGTTCTGTGTCCTAGTGGCACCTTCTAGCTACAGATATGCCTTCCTTCACTTATTACTGATAACACTCACATCAGTATGCCTAGCCCTAGCACTGAGGCAGAGGTTTATTTTGTTGGAACCATACACGAGACTTTCTCCATCCTGGGTTTTTAGTTTTTTGGGATGCATCTGTTCAGAAGCCCTTCTGCCTTGTCAGTTCAGTTCAGCTTGTTTGACACCTGAACTTTTCCCCACTCTGGCTCCAGACACCAGCCTGCTGCAGCACCTTAACTCAAAGGTGGCAGCATCCTGTCCCTGTGACTAAATCCCACAGCCAGGTTATTTATAAAGAACAGGCTCGTGGTCTGGATGCTGGAAGCTTTCCTGGCAGAGGACAGATGAGCATTTAGGACAGAGAATAGTGTACTGCACACAGCTGTGACATCAAGTTGGGCATTCTTAGTCATGTTAAGATAGGGAAAGTGTTTGGGAGATGTGTGCAGGGTCTGTGTATGTGTTGAGAAAGCACTGAGGGTTCTGGCATCCCTGAGGGTTCAGAAGTTGGTATGTACTGATACACCTCTTGGGCCCAAAAGAGGCTGTGTAGGGAGGGCATGGCGTACAGCCCAGAGCAGTCACTAGCAGATAAATGTGTCCTGTGCCCATTAAAGATAGGGTCTTACTGTATGTATCCCAGGCTGGCCTGGAACTCCTAATCTTCCTGCCTCAGGCTCAATAGAGCTGAGGGACAATTATACTAAAAATCAAAACAATAGAAACTGTAAGTATGTGCAGAGACAAGCTGCTGCAGTTTCTTCCTGTTCGTTTCCAGCCTGAGATTGTAGCTTACACACACACACACACACACACACACACTCACACACACACACACACACAAAAAAAAAAAAAAAAACAAAACAAAAAACAGTACATATATGCTTGCATGCTATGGTTCTGGTAGCAGTCATAGTTCAGAGGTAGCAGTCGTGGTAGCCACAGAGAAGCCCACCTGACTTGAACTTCACTGTACATGTATCTGTGTGACTATCCTTTCTTTATTCTCTCACTGCCCCTAGCCAGGGGTCTGGAGCCTGAGCTGCATGGTGGACCTGACACGGTCTGTAAGAGCTCTGTAAGCAGAGCCTTGGGCTGAAACAGGCCTCATGGATAAGTCACTGTTGTAACCTGTTGTAGCCACCAGTGACCTGGGTGGTGCCTGTGGCAGATAAGATACGCTTTGATGAGATCTTCTTGAAGACTGACCTGGACCTTGACGGCTATGTGAGTGGCCAGGAGGTGAAGGAGATCTTCATGCACTCGGGCCTCACACAGAACCTTCTGGCACACATTTGGTAAGGATGGAAACTGTGGTGGAGGTGGCTGTGAGAGGCATGGAAGGAGGCAGGTGGGAGGGAAGGAGGGAGGGCTCCAGTTTCTCAGGTGTCAGTGTACAGGGAGGTAGGGTCAGTCTTCATACTAGAGAGCTCTGTTGGGACACTCCTCTCCACAAGCCTTACTTTGCCTCAGCCACCTGTGACAGTCATTCTGCCTGCCACTTGGGTAAGCCAAAGAGAGCCTTGACAGTTCCAATGAGATCCCATTTGGAGGGGCAGCATCTGCTTCCAACAGGAACAGGGTAGGGAATCAGACCCTTGTTTGTTCCTCAGGGCTATGACAACCCTTTCCTGGGGAGAT